TGAAAAAGCACTGTTGGAATTATTGCAATTTCCTATTGAGATTAATACTCTTAAATTTGGATATCATAGGTAAAATCTGTTTCATCTCTAGTCCTGATAATTTCACACCATTTATTACCAAGTTAAAAAATGCCAATCCTGATGTTGATCCCTGGTGATCCCATTTTGCATGTTTCTAATACAATCTCTAATTATGTATTGATTCCAACTCTTTGTTTCCTATTCTTATTGCATGATCGTGATCTCACTATTGGAATTGTTTGCTGAGAAAATTTGAGAGTTTCTGAAACTCCAAGTATATAGTATTTGTGAGATCACTCCTGTCTCTTAAAAGTTGTGATGGATTGATGCTCTCTTATATAAATATTCTTGGAGATGTTTGTAATCTTTGCTCCCACAAACCATAAATACATTTTTTTTTAAAAAAAACTTGATTTATGAGAAAAAAATTAATTCTAATAGATATGTTGAAGTGGGACTGAGAAAACAAACAGCTCACTTGCCAGTCCCTTTTTCTTAAACCAAATTTGTAAAATTAATAATTTACAAATTATTAATGTTTTAATATCTATTTTTACAATAAAAAGGACTATATTTTGAAATTTTCCTTTTTTCCCTACATCCTAGGATATAATTGAAAAATTCCTGTATCTTGGTAGGTATACCAGTTATAATTTAAACAGATAGTTTCATATGATTTACTGTTAAAAAATTCTTAAAATATTATTGTGTATGTGTGTATGTTTAATACTTATTAGTTATTGTATAATGAAATGTTATCATTCACACTGAGCATTAATTCTTACATTATCGAAGTGTTTTTTTAAATCACTTGTGAAAAAGTTGGTTTCTGTGCAGTGCAAAATGCCAGGACAAGATGAATTTACAGATTCAAGACAACTTTTTTTGTCTTATATTTTCTTTATATTCTTGGCATATTGCATTTGATAAGATACATATTGCCACTGATCCCATAAAAATTGGAAGGTATATTATAGATGATTCTCATTTGTGTCTACTTGTACAAATCACCTTTCCCCTATATATTGCCCTTGAACTGAATCCAGTATGTCTTTTATAACATTTAATGTATTCAGAGCAGCTTTCCCCAATCTGGTGTCTTTTAGCCTTGTTGCAGTCAACATGGGAATTCTTGTAATTCTTATAATGGTTAACTGAAGTTTAATAGAATCAAAATAATCATACCCACATCTATAATGGTTCCCAAAAGAATTTGGATGCAATATTTCCTGCCATTAGAGTCCCTGGGATTGTGTCTATGATCTTCTGGTTTATCTATGCAGCAGCATAGTTAGGAGATGATAAGATCGCTTGCAGGAGTTCAGAATTCTATACATGAACTGACTCCGAATATGAACTGTGCATGATGGCACCAAATAATGCCTTTAACTGTAAAGTCTCACTTCTGATGTGAGGACTTACGTGTGTATGTGTGCGCGTGCGCACGGGAGAGGAGAAACAATGGAACAGCAGTCTGGGTAAAAGTAGATGGTCAGGGAATGCTGAATTCTGGGTATCCTTCAATACTTCAAATCCCACTCCATGACCTTCATTAAAAATCACAGAATTGAAACTGCTACAAACATACTCTGGACATTAGTAATGACTGGGTAATTTTCAATTTTATTGTAACTTTTTAATATTATTTCGAAGCTGTCCAACTCCAAGCAACCCTGGGGTGGCTTAGGTTTTAAAAGCAGGAACAATGAAAATAAATAAATAAAAAGCAGATCATACACATCCAGCATAGTAAATATAATCAAATTCAAATTTTTGGAAGAATGTGAACGATGCATGCTTATAAATAAAATTCAGAATTATATGTTTTATTATTTAGGAAAATTGACAGAAGTTAGTAATGGTGGTTGCATACTTTAAGAAAATAATCTCATTCATCCTTATATTTTCAGGTGATGACAGAAATATTGAGGAAGTGTATGTGGCTGGCAAACTGGTGGTTCCATTTTCAAGCTCTGTGTAAACTGGATTCCAATTCTGAAAAATGCTCAACTAGTTATCGTTTAGTTTGGAAGAACTGGGTAGAAATGCAGTGCCTTGTTGTTACGCTGATTTTATTATGTTTCTGATATGCACCAGAAAGGTTGTCAACTGGGCAGTGACAGAACAAAAATATATGCCAAAAATCTATCTCATTTGAGCAGGATAGGAAGCAGCCTCAATTGCATGAACTTGCATTTGGAACAAATATTTCCACCTACCTACACCTTAATAAGAATATCCAGCGATGGTTGCAGAAAGTATTTCATCCCTCAAAATATAAAAACGCAAATCCTAAAAATATATCTGAGGATAATTTAGGGATCTTCATTGACTTAGAAGCAAAACATACTTGTTTTGGGTGTTGTCCATTTTCTACAATTTTCCTCCTTGAATGGACATCACATGATCATGACAGGGTTTTCCAATCAGGAATGGAAAAATCCTTTTTCCTTTCTCTCTTCTGGGGAGTGACATGTCTCCTGAAACTTTCACCTTTATTTTCATACGTTTATCCAGATTGCTTGACAGCAAACATGGCATGATGAATGAGGATATAAAAAGAAGAGAGTCAGATCCCATGTTCACAGTTTATGTCATCTGGGATGGCTTTGTTCACACATAATGCAGAACTGTAATGTGGTTAATTTAAATTTGGATTAACATGAAGAACCCCTTCATTATGGATGCATTTTAAGTGAGAAAAAGGGGCCTTTTTAATATGAGGATAAGGCTGTAACCTTGATATTTTACTGATGTGGGTCAATTGGGTGCAATCTAATTGGAAATGTTTGTTCAGATTCTAAATACAATCTTACCCTACAGTTCAAAGCAATTTGGACAATCAAATCAATATGGAAAAGGGGGCTTTTCCTTTAGAATCTGATCTCTGAGTTTAATATTTGTATAATTGCACTATTTTACTCTGATAAAAGTATATAAAGCACTTAGGATAAATATTCAATAAATAATGTTAAAACTATTGGGTTTTTTTACCTTGCAACCCAGAGATGGCAGATATAAATATGATAGATTTGCACAAAACACCTTTGGAGGAATGTGTGCCTTTTAGGATTATTGGTTTTTTTTAATTTGGGGAAGGATAATTTTAGGAGAATTACTATTATGCAGCGGTTGCCTCTGAGAGATTCTCAGTGGGAAATAAACTTTTGTTGATAATTGTATAAATAAAATAAGAACACTTTTTAAAGGGATTTGTTTCTAAACGTTTTGGAAAGCCTGTTAAAAATTGTCAATCCTCTCTCAGCACACGGGGTGCCTCTTTGTTCCTTGTCAGCATGAAGTTTAGTTGAAAAGATTGGGGCAGCTGGAAGGAGAGCCTTGGAAATTTACTTGGAAGAAAAGAGAAGCCTAAATATCTGTTTTGTGAAAAAGAAGCATTTTGAATGACAAATTGAAATTATTTGAATTTCCGTCTTACCCTACTGTTTATTAACCTTCTGTTTGAAGATATTAATGAGAATGAGTATAATTTGTGCTTTGTGGAGTTACTTGAATGATTTTGGTGTGGCACTTGGAGTGCAGCAGTATAAAATGTTGACTTAGCTTTAATATGCATGCTTTACAATAGTTGCAAAACAGTAGGCTAGGGGAACTCAGGAAAGGAACTGCACTTTTTCTCTTATCTATTTTACTTTTTCAAATATAGTAAGTCTGTGCATTTTTTGCACAATAAAGAAGGGGGGGAACGGTCCCACCTCTGCATTTATGCCAAAAATAAACTTATTCCTGCTGATAAAAAAATAATTCAAATATGCATTGGAAGTCAAGGAGGGAGAAATATAATATTTCATAGAACTATATTTGTTGCACTAAGAAGCTAGGTTTGATTTAGTTTTAATAGACAAAGTTTCTGAGTATCAGCATGTTAGTGAATTCAGCTAGCCATGGAATATGATGATTAAACCATGGCTTAACATGATCTGTCAAACCTATTAATAAACCTCATTCATAAGATATGCTAAAAATTGCCATTACATTATTTAAATATATACTTTATTAATAATAGTATACTATTTGATTATATTAAACTAAAAATGTATTTGTACATATGTGTTAACAAGGTCATATAAAACTGAAATGAAGGAATAAAGAAAAGAGGGAAAAGCTTGGGAAATTAAATAATAAACAAACTATTCAAAAAGATAGAAAAAAGCTTTCAAGTCCTTTTTAGAAATATATAAATTCATTTTCTTCCTACAAACAGAATAAAAGATTAGATTAGCATCACCTAGAAGCCGAGTTGCCCAGTTGGATGGACTTTGCTCTTGGTGTGAAAACAATTACGATGTGTTTGGCGTAGAAGGGAAGGAGTAAACATTCTCATTTATACTCTTGAGAAAGGCCAGTTACCCAGATAGTATATTTTGCTGTTGATATCGCCTAATCATCACTGATTTCCATCATAATGTAAAATCATTTAAGCACATTTTTCATCTCTTGTTTTGTCTGGTCCTCAAATCAATGAAACTAAAAGTATGATCCTTTAAATGGTATCTGTTTATAAATGTATAGCACTACCAATTAGCATTACTAATAGATTTGGAAAGCCACTTGGATGTATTTGTTGCTAATTACAGCCAGAACCTGTGGGAGAGAAGTTGGCCTCAGCAGCATCTGTAGGCAAGGGTCAAAAAGGGCAAGGTGACGGTTGTGGAGCCCGAATTGAAGCCCCATCCCTTTCCCTACATCTCCTGCAGATGGCTTTCTCTCTTTCACCTGCATTTCAATCTTGGTATGAAGAGTGCTATAATTTTATTGTACAGCTTTGGGTTGATTGAAAAAAAAATGTGAATTAATCTTGCCAGATTTTTATTTTTCTGACTGTATTTGTTCAAGGTGGGAAATGCAACCCCTCCCCCCAAAAATAATTGTTGCTGTGTATTCTAACTGCTTGATTGTCAGTAGTTATAAATGAGCCCCTTTGCGCTTATTTAACAGAATAAAGAAGATATACTTACTCTGGTTTACATTGGTTCATTTCTTAATGTTTTGAAGGAAGTAAAAAAAACACAATCCATTGCTTAGTTCCAGAGGAAGACATGCATTGAAGGGAATCTGTGGATGCTGAAGAAAAAAAAGAAATCCTAAATAATGTTCTCAGATAAACCAAACCACTCAAACTGAGGGGAAGAAACATCTTTGCATAAGATTCCTCTTCCTTGTTGTCTATTCACCAAGGCTGCTTCGAAACATGCTTTGGAATTAATATTCAGAGTATGGAAACTAAGTGATATGGGTTTAAATTATTAATCCTAAACTATTATTAATTTAATTAATTAATTAAAACCCTAACTCCTCCTAGGCTGTTTTTTTTTTTAAAAAAAAAAAATTATGCCAACATCATCCAGGGGCTGTTTTAAGGTGTACAAAATCTATAAGCTTTCTCATTCATTGCCCTGGAGAAGGGTTAGGTGACTAGCACTGTGCTTTGTTATTAGGGGCAAGAGAGGATTACCACTGAGGACAAGACATGTCACACCAGGCCTGTTTTCTGCCAGGTGAGGCACAGCTCATAATGGCCTTGAGTAAATCTCTCTCAACCTAGCCTAAACAACCCTCTTGCTTTTTGGAAGTGAGGTAAAGTTGTATTATTTCAGCAGGCTTTGATTCCTTAGCTGTGCTTAGGAGGCCATCACTGGTAGGTTTTTTTTTTTTTTGCTTGGGAGGCCATCATTTGTAATGTTTGCACTTTGAAATTGTTCTTTGCTGCCCAAAGTTTGTATGGATCGGGGAGGCCTGTGAGTGTTGTTAACAAGCAAACTGAACAGAAAGCTGTAAATGGAAAATATATTTAAGTTAATATACATAAGAGTGCATTGATACCGAGTCCAGTTCCATCCTTCTATGTCAGAGAACCTGTTGCTCTCAGTTTAATTTCACTTCTACAAGTAATCATTGCAGGGATCTTATAAAAACCCTGTTTGTCTCATAGCTACATGCTGGACAAAAAGGGGGAAGAGAGAAAGAATCACATACACTCACCAGTTTAGGTCCTACCACCAGTGGTAGTGATATCCCTCTTCTAGCAAAATTTTATCCAAAAGAATCCAATCCTAAAAACCTACAGCAAAATGTTTCCCATGTTTTGCCAATCTGAAGAAAAAAAAAAGCATTTGAACTAATTTACAAGCTTCCATAACAATGGAAATTTGGAAATCAATCTACTAAATCTTGTAGAACAGCAATAGCTTAAGACAGTGATGGCGAATCTTTTAGAGACCGAGTGCGTAAACTGCAACCCAAAACCAACTTATGCATTGTCGGGTGCTGGGTAGGTGTGGCCCATTGGGTGGGTGTGGCCCATTGGCTGGGCGTGGCTGCGGTGATAACGGCAGACTAGGTGGGACTAAAAAGTTCAATCAATCAATTCCAACTTTGCAAGATCTTTTTTCCCCCGCGAGAAGTTGACATTGACTGATTGATTGAACCTTCTTGTTTTTTGCACATGGCGGCAGAGGCCTAAAGTGAAAAGGTTTTATAAAACCCAGCTGAAGGCCTAGGACTGGGGTGACGGCGTGCGTGCCCACAGAGAGGGCTCTGAGTGCCGCCTCTGGCACCTGTGCCATAGGTTCGCCACCACTATCTTAAGTGCTACTCTCTACTAGCACTGATGAAATTACCTAGTTTGGGTAGTGAAATGTCTACAAGAAAATTACCAAACTAAGGGAACACCAAGAACCTCTCATTTCAACCTTGAGCTATAAATATTCTTTTTTAATCAATATATTAAAGCCTTTAGCCATATTCGGTGGAAAATGAAGAACAATGATCTCATGAAATATTTTTAAACCTCCACAAACAAATCATCGGTAAAAAGCAACATCTGCTTGCCGTCTTGAAAATATTTTGTTTACCATCTCCTTGAGAATTAAGGGTTTTTAAAAAACAATTAAAAATAGATTCAAATTGCGTTGGTGTCACACCATTCCCTCTGGGAAAGAAATGCTAGAAATTTGCTCTTTGTTGTCAGAATCTTTTAAAATCAGCAGGAACACAACTCTTTTGATGATTTCAGAGCAAATGCATTTTCATGAATTTATTTCCACAATTTGGCTTGGATGGCAGCACACGGACTGGAGAAAAGACAGGAATGAGCCAGTTTCCAACATATATGAAAAATAATAGCCAGCTCTTTGGCATATAAACATTAACCATTTTTTTTAAAAAAGCAGTCTTCTTATTGTCTGAATAGTTTTTTTTTTCTGAAGCAGGCACATAGTTTGGATCCATTCATTTTAATCAAATCTATTCATCCACAATATTACATTCATGGAATCCATTACAATACTTGAATTCCTAAAGGAACGGCTTTTATACAAATCTCCAGCCCTCATAAAATGTGGAGATATGTGACCTCAATCAATACAAGGTTAAGGATGCTACACTGTCAATGAAATAATAGAGTCTATAAAACGTTTCCAGAGTTAGTTAGTGAAATTTTCTCATCTGTTTTTTTTCAATGCAACCTCTCATATTCATATTCAGATTACTGTATTGCTGAAAAAGAAATATCGCATTTAAATATCTCAGAATAGACACAAAAATGTAGTATCTCTCCTTCTGATTCTCTCAGATCAAGGGATTTTTTATGACTGAGAGAGGGGGAGAGGGGCATATTTTTAAATATATTTTAGGGAAGTTGCTGAGGGCCACAAAGGAGAGAACTGTTGTGATTCCTGTGGATCCGGCAGCTGGGTCTGAGGAATCAGATGGGGAGAAGGGGCCTGGAGTGACATTGGAGTCAGAGGAAGGCTCTGAGGAGCTCCAAGACTTACAATTGGACGAGGAGCCTGGCCTCTCTACTCGCACTCAGGTTGAGACACAGCTGTGCTGGGAGCCTGAATTGGACAGTGATGAAGAACAGTTGGGACAAATTCAGGATGCACGAAGGCGCAGGCAAGAGAAGAGAGTAGAACAGAGGAATGCAATGGGGCGGCTTCAAAAGCAAAGGAAAAGGCATTAGGAAGCCATGCCTTGGGAGGTGCTGGTTGCCAAAGACAACCGTTCGTGTTGAGGATCAAGTTTCTGTGAACTGTGTTTGTTTGCCTTGGATATTGACTCAGGTCTGTGAGAATAAAAGGGGTTGGTTTTTTCTTGTGGTTTCTGCCTGCTTGTTGGAAGAGGGGTTTCTCCTTGTGAGCATAACAAGGACTCACGTTGGCTGGGACAGAACAAGAACTGTAACTTGGTGACATTCCTGCAATGTGCAACATTTTGAGATAGGCATGTTGAGATATTTTTCTTTGATTATGAAGGGAATGAGTTGGGCCTATTCAACCACTCACGGACAATATTCAATTATTTTCCCTAGTCCAGTAGAAAAATCACACATTCATTACTTGACAGGTTGTTGACAATATTCAAGAACATATTTCCTAGAGCATGCTGGCTGGGGAATTCTGAGAGTTGAAGTCCACAAGTCTTAAAAGTTGCCAAGGTTGGACACTTCTTTTATAGAGCCAGGCAGGCTGCAAAATGAAGCTTGGCAGCCACACACATATTTGTCGGCCTCTGAGTTGCTCACTCTCATAGACTCTCACAGTCTTAAAACATACGTCATCAACTACCTGTTTTCTTTAACAGGCCAGGCTATTTCCTGGAACACAAATAAATAATGAATGAAATAGTAAAACAAATACTAGTATCAGTTAGTAAGACGGCACAGTAGTTAAGGCACCCAGGTAAATCCAGAAGACCAGGAATTCTAGTCTTGCCTTAGGTATGAAGGCAACTGAGTGACTTTGGCCCAGTCACTTTCTCTCAACCCCAGAAAGAAGGCAATGGCAAACCACTGCAAAAAAAAATAAAAATAAATAAACCTGCCATTAAAAGTAAAGCAGTGCAGATAATAGTTCTGAAGCCCTACTTAACTCTACTTGAGGGTCCTTTTCAGCTCTTGTGAATCCTCCTTAGCTGCTTCTCAGCTCATGCTTGAAATTCTATAAAGCATATTTCTCTTTCACATAAAGACGGCTTCTGAGTCCCTATGGTTGGTACTTCTGGGCTGATTTAGAAGTAGTGAGTGCATTTGTTGGTGGAATCTTCCCATTACAATGCTTTTCCTCTTTCCAAGTTTTCTTTTGCTCCAGCCAGATCTTCTCTGCCTAGTTTCAACAGGTTTCTTTCTTGAATTCTTTAAATTCTTGCTTTACCCTGAGAGTAATCTTCCAATATTCATATTAAGCAGTTGATATGAGGAATTTTAAAAATGGTGATACTTTTCTTATTCCCCCTCCCTGCAAGTAACCAGGAGAAAATTTCAGATTAGAAAGTGTCTTTCACTTTGAAATGTATTCATGAAAAGCTTTCCTTGCAACTCTTTATTCCCCGTTTTTAGAACAATTTGTTGTTTTAATAGTTTCTAAAATGTTCGTTGTATTTGTGACTATTTGTGTGTGTACCTCTGAGTCCTTGTTGACTCCTGGTGATTGCCTGGACAAATCTCTTATCATTTTCTTGGGAAGTTTTCTGAAGTGGCTTGCCATTGTTTCCTTTCCAGGGCTGAGAGAGAAGGATTGACCCAAGTTCCCCAATTGCCTTTATACCTAAAGCAATTTCTAGCTGGTATTTTAGCTACTACATCAGAGGGTATCCAACTTTTCTAACTTTAAAACTTATGGGCTTCAGCTTCCAGAATTGGCTGACTGATAAATTCTGGTAGTTGAAGTCCCTAAGTTTTAAAACCCCTGCACTACACCAAGCTGCTGTCTCATTCAGGAGTACAGTACAAAACATTTTAATTGTTTTCCTCAGATATATTTTAGGGCTGAGGAATTCTGGGAGTTGAAGTCCACAAGTCTTAAAGTTGCCAAGGTTGAGGATCCCTGTTTTAGGGTGCCTTTAAGCTTTCTAAATCCACATTTGATTCAGTCTGAAACTTTTACAAATCATGAATTTAACCATGACATTTACTGGGTAACCTTTTTTTAAGGTAAAGAAGACCATGTGGTTCCTTTTCTTGTCCTTCCCATACATTCTATCTTGAGAGACCTACCAGTGACATATAGAATGAATAAAGCACGTATCTCTTTCACTGAAGAAATATGTTCTGTCTGAATGGCAGATCTGGATATTGTGCTATGTTATAGCTCTCTTCCTTCAGAAGATGGCACTCTTTTCTCCAGATCCCCACCATTTCAAACAGAAAATTCAGCAGAACTACTGA